CCCCCCCCGCCGCAGGCCGCGCTCCCCGCTGGGCTTTGCGTGCTCGGGACAACAGGGGGCATGGGTGCGGCAGCGGGCAGGTGGGTAGGTCAGGAGGGGGCCGCCCCAAGCCCCTGCAAGGGAAAAAGATGCCCGCGGAGACGCACAGGTCCGGCGTTACGCCACGCACCCTCTTGGCAAACCTTCCTTCCACCCTCTTTGAAGATTTTTTTCCTAATTCCTAAAATTGCTCTCCCAAGCAGAGGCCCCTCTTCCAGCCACGGAGATTATTTTCACACAGTTGCTACGTTTCGATTTTCTTTCTTTCCCGGTGCCCCTGGTCCCTCGCGCGCGCGTCCACGCAGACACATGCACACCCGTGGCCGCCGCCTCCCATCCCAAATGCAAACCCACTTCCTTTTGCCAGTTGCTGTAGTTAAGCTAAGTCAATGCTACATCAAACTAGGCTAGGCTGAGAGAACTGGAAAGTGGATTTAGGGGACAATACTGCCCCAGCAGGAAGAAAGGCTCTAGTTTGGCATTCTGTTGATTTAACAGTTACAAATGCAAATGGATTTTGTAGCTTCTGTACTAACTCAGGCCCTTGAGTCACAATTCTTTAAATGAAGCTATTCTATTAAGTCTATTGTATGTTATAAAAATGTAAATAGATATAATTACACACACACACACACACACACACACACACACGATGGTATATTAGGACCAAACCTCTCAGTCTTAATAAATGAGTAGCTGAAAGTTTGTTTTTCTGCAAAAAGCTATCTCTTAACTGCTCCCCCCAACTCTTTATACAGATATTTATAGTTAGCAAAATTCAAACAAAAATTGGCATGTCTGTGTAAGATGCTCTTACAGGTATTTAAATCCTCGCCAAAAAAAAATCCCTTGAAACAACCTGTTATAGGCAATTTATATTGTTTTTTTCTTAATCCTTTTTCCAAATGCCGTTCATTTTTATTTAAACCAGTTTTGTTTTTCCAAGAGTTCACACTTCCTCTTGTAAATTCCCCACTTGAAGGTAGAAATCCTCTGTGAAATAAACATTTCCACAGCAACCCAATGATGTCACAAACATCGGCTCATGATTTCAGAGGGGAAATAAAGCAGGAGAAAAGGATCTCTCTAGAAAAACAGTTTGTTTTCTTGCAAGTAGCATCGCTCCTAATAGAGATTCAAACACATTGATTTCTGGCTAAATATGTTTTCTTTATCTGAGATTGACTTATTTTTCCAAGATATGTCAAATGACCTTTTTTAAAAAAATAAATAAGTCACCATCCTCTTTTCTGGGTTTGTGAAGAATGGTGTTTCAAATCAGTGGTCCCTAACCACACTGGCCACTGTAGATTTTAATAAAGGAAAAAAGGATTTTTTTTTCTAAAAATGATATCAAAAAGAACATTGAGAGATGAAATTCAATGTTACTAACTTCAGATCCAAATAATGCTGACTGATCTGGCTCCAAAAATACAATAGTTTTTTAAGAAGTATTAGACGCACAGAAATTCTATTCAGTTTTCCAAGTTAGTGCTGATCTCACCAATATTGTATAGAGGGGCTTCTTCTCCATCGTTTCTTCCATTGTTTCCTGTGTCTCCAGGCTGGGAGGAAAAGAGACACATTCTTCACACTGTCCCCATTTTAATCCCCCTGCAGTCCCTCTCCTATAAATATTAAATGTAAAGGGACTCAAAATTATAAAATTAGGCCCAACACCTGGGGTTTCTTAGGCTTCCTGTCTAAATAAAGTCCTTTAGATAATATGGATACAGAGCACTATAGTAATTTAGTTTGTCAAGTGCTTTTCATATATATTTTAGTTTGAGTTAACATTCTGTTCCTGCAGTCTCCTGGTTTCAGCTCAGGCCCCACTTCCACTCCCTTTCCTGTTCGTTGAATGAATGGATTTATTTCTCACGACAACCCTGGAAGAATCGGGACTCTTTATCCTTATTTCATAGATGTGGAAACAGGTTCAGGCATGCTAAATAATCTGCCCCAGCGCCCCAGCTACAACGTAGAAGGCATTGAACCCAAACTTGTGACCCACCTACCTCTCTCATCCATATCTAACTGAGCCCATCATAGCACTGCTCTTATCTGACCATTTCACATCTTCCCAAGAACAGAGCCAGTGGTTCCACTCTCCTAACTGCCCAAATTGGTGATAAGTGTACCTTTGTGAGATGTGTTCGTTTAAACATTGATTACTTGTTCACTAGCTCATCTACTCTTCAAGAGGACCCTGTCAGGAAGGTACTATTATATGTTTGTTTTATAGATGAGGAACCTGAGGCTTAGGGAGACACCCTCCCCCAACTCCCCATCCTACCCACAGCTAGCAAGTGGCAGAACTCGGTCTTGAATCAAAGACTCCTGGCTTGTGACTTTTCTTTCCCTGAAAGTCAGTCTGTCTTATCTCCAAACACCTGTATCCACTGAGCAGGTCCAAGGCCCACACAGACATCCAGCGAGGGAGAGGCAGGAACAGGTGGAAAGAATCTCCTCTGAGCAACAAACGGGAACATTTGTATAAATGACGCCTGGCCTCCAGCCACAAACATTTGGCTCCCCTCAAATCTCCAGTTCTCTCTCTTTTAAACAGGGAAGGCCCAAAGAGAGCCACCTGGAGAGATTTCTGATGAAATGCCTCCCTCTTCGCCCAGCTCGCCCCTCGCCCAGGCAGCCCTTTCACGCTGAAAGAATTCTTCCTCAGTAGCTTTGCTCACCTGGCATTAGCACACTAATATGGAGGTTTGTTTGCTAGTTCTCAACAACATAAAAACAAGCCACCCCCACTCTACCCCCATGGGGGCTCAGAACAGATGGAGACAACCCCTTGGGAGACAAAGGAAGCCACAAGCTCATTGAGAAAAGATCACCCCGGACACCTTGCCAGCTCCTTGTTGCACAGTATTCAGAAGTCTGAAGATGGAAACCCAAAACAGAAAGCTTTGGATTTCCAAATCCACTGTGGTTGGTTTGCTCAAGGCAAACCAAAATTTCTCCTGCATGCTTTCCCCTGTCCTATTGCCAAGTCACGATTTGTCACACTTGAAGATATGTGATTCGTTGAATTGAATCATTCCATTAATGAGAAAAATCCATCTTTATTCATAAACACTACCCTCCCCCCCCCCCCAAGAAATAAGTTTTGCATTAATTTCGTATTGGAAATTGGTTGCTAGTCCAGATGATGCTGGGGTGTTTTCCTTGTTTATAAATGACGTGCATTAACACACTCATACCACTAGGGTATCATTTAGTGAATGGCTGCTCCGCTCTGCAGATGCGAGAGGCCAAATTGCTGTGGATGTGGGTAAAAAAAATGATCGTTTTGGCAAACACTGCAGATGGGAAGCAGATGTAATGTACAGAGGAAGTTTGATTTCATTCAGTCTCCTTCCTTTATTAAAATAAAGTCTGCTAATTTGTCTTATTTTTAAAAAAAGCCCTCTGAATACAAACTCAGGGTTAACCCCAGGTAAAGTGCAAACCAGTCTCATTCCTGCCTTCAAGGAGTTTACAGTCCTCAGTCAGCATTGTTTGGTCTACCAGATTTTTTTAGCTGCCAATTTTTCTAGGTAATTGTTTAAAATTTTACATCCTCTCATCAAAATTATAATTGCCCTGGAGAAGGATTAAAGTTAAGAAGTCGTGAGCCAAGGAAAAGTTGAGAGGGCAGAGGAGTGGTATCACAAACAAGGAAGGTATCTTGTGAAACATGAAAAAGGAGGCAGCCAGTTAATGAACAAAGAAACTAAGGCAGAAAATGGATCCCAAAATAACTAGGACAATAATAATAATGAAAATGTATTGAAATGCTTATAATAAGCCTTATATAATATAAATATAATATAAATGCTTATATAAAGGCATGATGTTAGGCACAGGACAGTCTACTCTGGGCTTCCCTGAGACAAGGATTGGAGTGCAAGTTGTTTATTTTGGAGGAGATCCTAGACAACACAGGTAAGGAAGTACGGGGAGTGAGATCAAGAAGTGAAGGAAGCATGAAAAGGTGCAACTGTGGGCAGCCGGAGCTGACTCCTACTTGGTAACCGCGAGGAGAGAGTAGGGAACACACATTCCAGAGGGTTACCCCATTCGAGGGGTGGGGGCGCTGGGGCAGTGGCCCGCTAAGCCCTTAGCTGAAGGCTGCCCCAGGTGTTGATAATGCCTCAGCACGTGCGACCGGTGGCCAGCATGAACCAGGTGGGGTCCGGCAGCCAGAGGAAGTCCTCAGGCGAAGGGCTGCAGAGGCGGACGTTAGAATCTGAGTCTATGGTAAGGGCTGTGGGGATGCGGGGGGCACCAAGAGCACCTGCTCCCCAAACATTAACCCATCTCATTTTACAGAAACCTTAGGAAGTGGGAACTGTTACATTTCTACGTTTTCCCTGGAGAACATCGCCTAGGAGAGTAAGAAGTGGCATCTGTTGTTTTTACCCTGTTAGCATCCGTTCCCTCTTCTGGCTGCAGTCCCCCCCTGCCTTTTCCTTTGAGAATCACTCCCTCCCTCCCCAGTCTGTGATCTGACCTAACTCCCTCACTCAAGGGATGCACAGGTGACCCACGCTGACCTGATAGGAGCTCTACCGCGGATGCTCACTGGAGCTACGGGGCACCAGGTGTGCTCTTTCTTCCTGGGGAAGCAAAGCTGGGAGGATATAAGCCTGGAGCTCTTCCAGGACATGTTACTCCCACGAGAATGATCCCA